TAGGCCCAATGGGATGGCCAAGAGGTGAGAAACTGGTGGGCTGAAGGGGGAAGGGCTGGATGGAGTAGCCCAGTACACATTATCAACTTTATAGATCCCTGTAGGGAGGGGCAATTCCTGGGACAGATTACCTTAGCAACAGGTTAGAGCAGGGGGAGATTCTTGATAAGTGTGGAGGAAGGGCTCTGAAGGAATTAACATTTCAATCCCTCTGGAGACAGTCTCCAACTTCCCAGACTCACTCAAAATTGGCCTCCTTGATCTGACCTGATATGATTTACCTATCTATACTGTCTGCCTGTCTAATTCTGGCTTCAGTTCCATTCCTGCCATTTTTTTTCATATCATTTGAACAGTTTCTATTCTTGATTCATAACTGTTTGATCCGCTTTGGCTTAACATTTTTTTTGTAGGGTGATGCCATTCCAGTTTCATTCTTCTACAAAGAGCTATCCATTTTCCTACCACCATTTGTTCAAAAGTCTCTGTTTTATTCAACATATATTTTTGGTACTTTCTTTTTGTACCCAGGGATACTTAAGCACTGAGCCTTTTTTTAAAAAAAAAAATATTTAGAGACAGGGTCACACTGAGTTGCTTAGCAGCCTTGTTACATTGCTGAAGCTGGCTTTGAACTCACAATCCTTCTGCCTCAGCCTCCCAAGCTGCTGGGATTATAGGCTTGTGCCTACTGTTTTTGGCACTTTGTTGAGGATCAGATAATGTATCTGTTTGTATTTGTTTCTGTCTTCTATTCTATTCCACTGGTCTTCATTTTTGTTATTATGTCAATATCGCTGTCATTAAATGAAGTTAAATATATTTATCTTCCAAAACATTTATCAATTCCATGTGGTAAAACTGTCACAACCCTTTCTTATAGCTTTTTGGAATTCATAGGACATAATGTCATCTATCATTACCATACTATACAATGTTACTCCAGAGCTTCCTGATCCCATCTAAATGAATCTTAGTAACCATTAATGAGTACTCAGTAAAACACACAAATACTTTTGCTGGCTTTTGGTAACTACCATTTTATTCACAACTTTTATAAGATTTCATAGATTTCACCTGTGGTACTTGTCTTTCTATTTCTAACTTGTTTATCTTCGTATAATGATCTCCAGTTCCATCCATATTGTTGTAAATGAAAGTGCTTAATATTTTTTTTTATTGTGGAACAGTATTCAATTGTGCATATGTACCACATTTCTAACCATTTCTCAGTTGATTGAAACTTAAGTTGTTTCCATTTCTTGGAGATTGAGAATAATGAATCAATGTATGTGGGAATGCAGATGTCTCTTCAACATACTGATCTTATTTTCTTTGTATATATACTCATTTACTGGGATTGCTGAATATTATGGTAGTTCTGTTTTTAATTTTTGAGGAGCTTCCATACTGTTTTCTAAAATGGCTGTACTAAGTTATATCCCTACCAACACCGTGTGTTTCTTTTGCTCTACATCCTTGCCAGCACTTGTTACTTTTAGTCTTTTTTTATATTACTCATTCTTATTGGGATGGGATATCTTATTTTGAGTTTGATTTGACTTTAGCTGATGATTAATGATTTTGAACATATTTTTCATGTACCTATTGACTATTTGAATGTGTGTTTTTTTTAGAGAGAGAGGTAATGTAAGATTTATTTTCCATTGTTAAATTTGGTCATTTTTTTGTTATAGATTTTTGGAGTTTCTTGTATATTCTGAGTACCAACCTTTATTAAATGTATATATTGATAATATCTTCCCATAATACAGGTTGTCCCCACCCTCTGTTGATTGGTTCCTTTGATGTGTAGAGTATTTTTAAGTTTATTTAATCTTATTTGTCTATTTATGATTTTATTTATTGCACTTTTGAAGTCTTATTCAAGCAAAAGCATTGTATTAGATATAAACAGACACATGGAACAGTGGAACAGAATAAAGATCCTAGAAGTAAACCCATATTCTGTAAATATTTTCCATCTGTTTTCTTCTAGTAGTTTCATAAGTTCGGGACTTACATTTAAGCCTTTAAATATTTAATCCATTTTGAGTTTATCTTTTTAAGTGGTGAGATATAGTGGGTCTATCTTATTTTTTCCAAAACCTTTTCTTGAAAATGCCATCCTCAATCCAGTGTGTTTTCTGAGATTTTCGTCAAAAATCAATTGTCTGTAGATGTGTAAATTTAATTCTAGGCTGTCTATTTTGTTCCATTTTTATATGTCTGTTTTTATGCCATACCATATCATTTCATTACTACTGCTTTGTAGTATGCTTTGACATTAGGTAGTATAATGACTCCTGCTTTGTTCTTTTTACTGAAAATGACTTGGGCTATTTGGCCTTTTTTTGCAGTTTCATAAAATTTTTAGATTTGACTTTTCTAGTTTTATGAAGAATGTCATTAGTATTTTGATAGAAATTGCCTTAAATTTGTAAATCTGATTGAGTGGTATGAACATTTTGGCAATATTGATTATTCTAATACATGAAGAAGAACTGTCTTTCCAATTTGGGGTATTATCATTTCTTTTGTGAATGTTTCATAAATTTAATTGTAGAGATTTTTCACCCCTTTGGATTGAATTTATTCCTGGGTGTTTTATTTATTTCTATTTGTACATGTTCTTAATGGAATTGCTTTCTTGATTTATCTTTTAGAAAATTTGACATTGACATGTAGCAACTATACTGACTTCGGATATTATTTTGTATCCTGTAACTTTGCTGAATTTATTCATTAGTTCTCATTTTTTTTGGTGTAGTTTTGAGGATTTTCTATATATAAGATGGTCATCTGCACATAGTAGCAGTTTGATTTCTTTTCCAGTTTGGGCATTACTTTTTTTCTTTATCTTGACATATTTGTGTAAGTAGGATTTTGGGGAATAAAAGTGATGAATCGGGCATCCTTGTCTTATTGCCAATCTTAAAGTGAAAGCATTTAGCATTTCCCCATTCAATATAATGTTAGCTATTTGCTTATTATAAATGGTCTTTATTATGTTGAGAGGCATTCTTTGTATTATCTTCATTGTTCAACACTTTTATCATGAATAGATGTTGAATTTTATTAAATGCCCTTTACTGCCTCAATTGAAATGAGTATAAGTTGTTTTGAGTTCTGTACATATTCTGGATATTAATCTCCTGTAAAAACAGTAGCTGGCAAAGTTTTTCTCCCATCTTGTAACTTCTCTCTTCATGTTCTTTTTTCTTTTGCTATGCAGAAGCTTTTAAATTTGATGTTCACTTGTTCAGTCTTTGTTTTATCTCTTGAGCTTTAAGAGTCTTTTTAAGGAAGTTGGTGCCTGTAGGGATATGTTAGAGTGTTCACCCTATATTTTCTTCTAGCAGGTGCAGTGATTTTGGTCTCATTTCTAGGTCTTTGATCCAATTTGAGTTGATTTTTGTTTGGGATGAGAGATAGGATTTAGTTTTTTTAAAATATGTGTATCCAGTTTTCCTAGCACCATTTGTTAAAAGGGCTATATTTTCTTCAACATGCTTTTTGTACCTTTACCAATGATCATACAACTCTTTCTATGTGGATTTGTCTCTGTGTCTTCTATTTCATTGCTCTTCATGTCTATTTCTATGCTAATGTTATGCTGGTTTTGTTACTATATCTCTGTAGTATAATTTGAGATCAGGTATTGTGGTACCAACAGGAACACTGTTATTGCCCAGTATTGCTTTGTCTGTTTTTGGTCTTTTATTCCTAAATAAGAATTTTAGGACTAGTTTTTCTAGTTGTGGGAAAAATGCCATTGGTATTTTGATGCAGATTGCATTGAGTCTATATATTACTTTTGGTAACATGGCCATTTTCACCAAATTCAGTCTACCCAAGAGCATGGGAGGTCTTTCCATCTTCGTAGGTCTTATTATCATCAAACAGAGGTAATTTGTCCTTTTCTTTTCCTATTTTGTGTTCCTTTAATTTCTTTCTCTTGCTTGGTAGCTCTGGCTAGCAATCTACTACCTAGCCACTCCAGTGGTTAGAGTGGACACAATTATTTTGTTATTGATGTTGGAGGAAATGACTTATTTTTTATCCATCCATTATGATTTTGACTTTGGGTATGCCATAAAGAGTCTTTATATTGTGGAAATAAATCCTTTCTGTCTAGAATAAGGAAATCTTTAATTTGTCTTTTGCAAAATTTTCTATGTATAAAATACTTTCAAGGACATCTTAAGGAATGATATAGTACAGAATAAAAAATAATGCCTCATATCAGGTCCATCTACAGGGGTAAAACTGAAATTGTAGGAATACAGGCAGCCAAAACCATTTTTTTTTAAGATCCATGACTGAAGGCTCATTTTTTTGAAATATCATATGTTTTCATATTGACATTATATTTTTTTTACCACATGAGAAATACTTACAGAGTGTGTACCCACTCAAACTGAGTCTGAGTCCTATGGGAAGGCAAAGTGGGTGAAATGAGCACATTCATGGTCATTTTAATACATTTTCATTTATTAAAGATTAATAATAATTTTACTTAGCATATAATACTTAAATAAATTATTATCTTTTCCAGGTAAACATCATATGCCTAATCTATTAATTACTATGTATTTTGGCTCAAGTGCCAGATAACCCATATGACTTTAAAACACTTCACATGGAAAAGAATTAGGAATTTTAGATATATGCCAGAAGGCCCATGAGGTAGATGAGAGATTTTAATTCTTCCATATAGCCCAATAGATTGAAATTAAGACCACTATAATGGTTTTCTCTTAGATCTTTATGAGTAGACTTGTATTCTTTCCTGGCCTTTGTGCAGAAAATCTTGGATGGGAGGTGCAAGATCTCAGTTCAAGTTTTGGCTGTGTTCTTTACTGAGTTCTTTTAATATTCTAAGCCTTTTTTCCCCCATATAGAAGAAAAGTAGTTATAATGAAATTTATATACAAGGAACCTAGGAAATCTTATCCTGATGACAATTCCATTTGTAGTATGATTTCTCACCCCTGCAGATGACAACCAGACCTTTGTGCAGGCCTACGACAATATACCTCTTGTTATCACTGTGTTTACTGACACTGAAGAGATACTTGTACCATGCCGGGTCACTTCCCCTGATGTTGATGTTAAGCTTCAACTGGTAAGTTGCATTGTCAGGGTCTCAGGGACTTGCCACTTTCTAGTGTAGGAAGTATAAAGATACTTGGGGAGAATTTTTAATTTTCATGTTTAGTACTGGCCCTAACTATGTCATGTCTACCTTTTTGGAGTGGAACATAAAAAATAGATATGCTACTATTTTGCCTTGAATTAGTGCTTTCACAAGAGGATTACACAAACTAGAAGGAAGTAGATAGTTACTATGATGCCCCTGAGTAATCATCTATTGTACTCAGTCTATATTATAGGCCATTCTAGAAAGGTCTCCCCTTCCCAGAAGCCAGAACCATTTTCTAGAAGAACTTTCTTGAATTTGATTAACTCTAGATGTCTAAGGACCTGTGAAGACTTCATATAAAGTTTGTCCAGAGCTCTAAGGTTTGAGTATTTGTGTGTAGTTCTAAAAATTGAACCCAATTTCTCACACATGCTACGCGAATGCTATTCTTCTGAGCCACAACCCCAACCCCTTCATGGAGTTTTTTATAAATAAGAAGTAAAGCTAAAATTTTATTGTCTGAGTAAATACATGTCTTTCTTAAACAGAAAGAAAATACTGGAAAATTTGGGGTGGGACACATGAGGAGTACAAGAGATGAAGGGGTAACTTAGAGATGTAGCTTCATCAGTCAAATCAATATTGGTTATGAATGGGGTATAATATCCCTGATGGATCACCTTAACATTCCTGAAGTTCTCAGCTTTCAAAGTTGAATAACACTTCTACAATTTTAAGAACACATTTATGTATTTCACCTTCTTTGAGCTGCTCAGATAGCTACCCTTTGAGGTAAACGGAGCTTCCTTTATTATTTCCATTTTACATATGAGGGACCCTTGGCCTAGAGAAAAGAAAGAACTTGCTCAAAGTCCATATTTTAGAAGGTCATAGCCAAAAGTAAAAATTGGATATCTTTATTCCTTGTCCAGGTATTGTCTTCGTGGTCTCCTTCAGGGCAGGTGTATATATCTGCTCCTCTCCTGGATACATTCTTCTTCTGCTACTAGGTTCTTCTAAATTCTCTGTAATGACAAAGCTATGACCCTCCAACAGTAGCATGCAATGATCTTCTTACTCTCCTGCCATATAAGGAGAGTCAAGATTTTCCCTAATCCCCCTTCACTGCAATATATCTGTGAAGGCTAAGAGTTGGGTAGCCAGGACATTGTGTATTTGCAGCACCACCTGATATGATAAATGGGGTGCTGACAAAGCTCGTGGGAAGAAGGTACTTTAACAGGCTCCATAAAATCTTGGGAGTCTATTAGGTACTTTCTGCAGACTGCACACTATCTTGATTGATTAGTACTCCTCTTCCAAGTCCTATCTGTCCCTAACGTCATTAGCAGGTCATTATATGCTCAGTATAGCAGTCTCTATCATCACAATTAAGTCCTTTCTCCTGTGAGTACCCAGTTCACATGCTCCTCCAACACTTCCCTGGGACTTTCTATTAGCTTTTTCTAAATGGAAAAGAAGATGTCCCATGTCTTTAGGACACAGTCCAGAAGGAGTTAGTGTTCCATCAGGAAGGGTGGAGAGGGAAAGACAGGGTTTGTGATAGAGTCTATGTGCTTGGATGGCTTCCTCATCCTTGTTCCACCTAATATGCAGGGAGAATGACCTGGTCCACTCACCAAGCTTCCTTTTTTCCCTTCAAACAAATGTTTGACGAGACTTGGCGCCACTGTGTCTCTGTCCTATGCCAAAAGGAAGCATGGAACAGGGAAGTGACTGACCTAATTCCAAGCCTCCTTTTCTAAAATTAAACCATACTAAACAATGGGTTCACCTCCATAGCATGAGCTGTCTGGAAATATTAGTAGAGGTATAGCCATAATTTGCTTTTTTTTAAAAAAAATCTTATTTTACCTTCATTTACTTCTCTTTATTTTATTTTTATGTGGTGCTGAGGATCGAACCCAGTGTCACATGCATGCTAGGCGAGCACTCTACCACTGAGCCACAACCCCAGCCCTGCCAGAATTTGCTTTTCTAAGGCCTTATCTATCATCTCCCCTAAGATTTATTAAGATCAATCAACTTCAGGGGATCTAGAAATCTCCCCCTTCTATCCAAAGGGGATTCCTAGACAGCAACCATAATATACCACTTTCTTTATAACTCATCAAAAGTCCCCATGATTCAAGTTAGCTTATTATGATACTATTGTATTTAGGGGAAAAACATTTAACATGATACTGGCATTTAAGGAACTATTGGCTAAAGAATCTATCCCAAAGCACTGAATAACACATTCAGCCTAAAGCTTGGCTACTGTGGAATTGAGGAACATCCGTCAGATTCTGTGAGCCCACAAAGAAGAATTCTGAGCTATGAATGAGGAAACCTGGAGTTCAAGTTGGATAATAATTTTTGATTATTTGTTAAGAGAATAGATGTGAATTATACTTTATACAATGCAATAGGTAGTACAGGTGAAAAGTACCAGTATAATTATGATCATTAGAGCTGATGTTTGATGTACTGGTTATGTATTTCACATTCCCTGATCTAAAATACATAACCTACATACGGTCATTTGGCAGGCCATTGTATACTCAATGTCACAATTCCCATGATCACATTGAAGTCTTTCATTCTCTAAGCAGCCAGTTCAGGCCTTCGGCTCTCTCTTCCCTGGGAACTTCTAACAACCAGTGTTATTCAAGGAACATTGGTTTTGCTGTTTTGCATTTTTGCTTTTACCATCTCATTGCTAGGTTTCAGTGTTACTCAATAGGTGAAGGAGGGAGAAATATCCCCCTTGTCCCTTGCAGTGCTGGAGATGAATTTCATGGCCATACATATGCTATGTAAGTGCTCTACCACTGAGCCATATCCCTAGTTTGAAGGGTTCCCTTTCTCCTGAAGTATAACTCCAACAAAAGTAAGCAAACCAACAGTGTATACAGGGCATTTTCCCCATACTAATTGATTAACTAAAGCTAACTTTATAGAAGAGGAAAACAACTTATTTTTAGGCAGAATTCAATGCAATTTGATTTAGTCCAACATATTGATCTCCTGCCCATGCCCCCCATGGGTGGTATTAGGGTTTCCCTTGATGTAATGGGTTGGCTGAGAAATAAAAGCTAAGAGAGCCTGGATCAGTGGTTCACACCTGTAATCCCAGAGGTTCAAGAGGCTGAAGCAGGAGGATCGTGAGTTCAAAGCCAGCCTTAGCAATGGTGAGTCGCTAAGCAACTCAGAAGGACCCTGTCTCTAAATAAAATACAAAATAAGACTAGGGATGGGCTTAGAGGTGGAATGTCCCTGATTTCAATCCCTGGTACCCCTCCACCCCAACCCCCCCCCAAAAAAAAAAAAAAACTAAGATAAATACAATTGAGAAAAAAACATAGAACACAGAAAGTAGTTTCAAAATTGGGGACAGAATGGGCAAGCTCATGAAATAGATTGAGCTCCTGGCAAAATGGAGCCCACACCTGCTTTGTTTATATCAGGACATATCAAAGGCCTTCCATAGAATGTTCTCCAAGAAAGATTAATGGTAGCCTGTTCAGTTTCTAATGGGTTATGCCCATCTCTGGAGCTACTATGAGGAACCTTCATAGCAGAGCAGAGGGAAAGGTCATGTGCTTTGGGCAATCTATTGCCATAGGAGAGCCACGGAAAGTTCCCAATGCCAGGCCTGTATGTACTAGAGAAAATAGGCATGCCAAGGAGAAAGGGAATGACTGCCTAGGGCAGTTTTAACTGAAGAGCTTATGACAAGTAGAAGCGCATTAAGTGAAGAATTTGGTAAGGAACACAAAAAGTAGTATGAAAAAATGAAGTAGTATTCAGGATTGTTGATTAAATATGACAGAAATTTAATCAAATCCTAATGCACTCAAATTGGCTTAGGCAAAATGCAAAATGTATTTCAAGGGGCAGAATATAGTTTAGTGTATTCACCTGAAGCTCCTTTCTCTAATATCACAGATCTGTTTTCAAAAATTATCTGTATTAATCTATAGTTCATTATATCTTTCTTCCTATAGATAAGCTGAGAAGTATTCCCTATCTGAACCCAAGTTAGAAAATAATCCCAAGGATGGTTCTGGTTACTCTAATTAGAATCGAATCCCCAATTTTACTCTATTCACTGTGGTCAGAGAGGCAGGAATGGTATGCAAATGCCACACAAAGTACATAGTTCTGGAGTGAGGATGAGGATGGTGGGCCACATTATAAGAAGGAATAAAGACAATAACGAGGGGAAGATCCTATCACATGCAACCAAAACGCCAAGCATCTACTGTAGATGATGATCTAATTTAGGAGAGCAGAGAAGGGAAGTGGCAGAATAGAGATTTTGGAAGTAGAATCCAATAGGACTTTTTTGACCTCAGTTCAGTTGACATTCAGGATCAGATAATTCTTTGTTGCATGGGGGCATCCTGTGCATTCAGGGATGTTTATTAGTTTCCCTTACTTCTACCCACTAGATACTAATGGCAACTTCCTTCAGTTGCACCAGCCAAAAGTGTCTCCAAATATTGCCAAATTCCTGTAAGGAGAACCTACTCCCTCCCATTGAGATGCACTGGTCTGTAGGCTTAATTAAGTGAATGAGTAACTTTTTTACCACTGAGGAAAGCCTCAGTGTTGTACAACAATAAGGACACAGAGTTATTCCTTTTAACTCTGATTTTTTTGTACATCCCTGAAACTCTAAATTGCTGTAGAACCATGCAAAATACTCCAGGTTTGGGGGCCTCCTCCATTACTGATTTTAACTATTTTCTCAGCCATTTTGTATTTTTGTCTCCATGTGTTGTTTGCAGTCCCCTTAGTTCATGCTATTTCTGTTGCCGGGTTCTTTGAGGACCTAGCAACTGGGTAGTAAAGGACAGTTAGGTTATGATGAAAGTGCTGAGGAATTCTCAAAGGGGCCCAACAGATTTTGTTGAAAAGTAGTTTTAAAAATATTTTTAAACATTTGAAATTTGACTTAAAAGTTGCTAAAAATCATAATATATGCATGTGCAAAAATGCCAAAAGAAAACCCACTAATTTGTACAATCAGTATGGAATAATAATTATAATAATGCTGAAAAGAAAGATATGCCTGTAATCCCAGTGGCTCGAGAGGCTGAGACAGGAAGATCAAGGGTTAAAAGCCAGCCCCAGCAATGGTGAGGCACTGAGCAACTCAGTGAGACCCTGTCTCTAAATAAAATACAAAATAGGGCTGGGGATGTGGCTCAGTGGTCAAGTGACCCTGAGTTCAATCCCTAGTACCACCCCCCCAACAAAAAAGAAAGATAAAAGAATGTACACAATAAAGAAAAAAAAGTAAGCAAGACATACTTGGTGTGACTAATTGTAATTAATTCAAATTTGACCCAATCATAGCCATTAAAAATGTGAAAAGATAGAAAAAGAGTTAATAAAGAATAAATTTTAAATTTAATTGTTTACAATTAAACTAAAAAGAAACGTAGTATATTTTATACCTTAAATTTTGTGTTATTAGGTAAAGCTTGATGATCCTATTGTAGAGTTAAGGAAAAGAAGTTTCTGAGTATATACATATTAGGAAGAATAAGAAAACTAAATCAATAGTCTATGAAACAGAAACTCAGAGTTCGAAGAGATTTCCTATATGACACAAAATTTCTTTATTGCCTCCTGGACAAATAGTCATCCCACCTATTTGAGTGATTTCAGTGACAGAGTTTACCATCTTTTTATTAAGCCAACACAGCATCTCAGACATTTTTACTCATCAGTTCACATTTTACCTTCTGAAGTTATTATACTCAAAAGTCCAAGTTCCCAAATAATAGCTCTTCATATACTAGGAAAAAATTAAACTTATTCTGACCTTTTTCCCTAATCCAAACCTCAATCCTACCAACCATATTCTTTCCTCAAGTGTTTTAGTTTCTCAGGCTAAAATCTTCCTTTTTCTCCAACTATTCCTTGTATCACAAGACTTCCAGAGAGTTCATGATTTTGATCATACTCCTTTGATGTCATATTGCCATTAAATTTTATATTTAATGAAAAATTTTAGTTATATGAGAATATGCTAATTAATATAATGTTAAGTAGGAAAACATAGGATTAAAATTGTGATTATAGTGTGTGACTATGTGTCAATGCATACATACATAGAAAAGAGAATGTAAGTACATATGCCTCATTTGTTTCCTAGCTATTTCTGGGTTATAGGTTAGTACTATTTTCTTCTTTACTTTCTTCAGTATTTTTGAAAAATGTTCACAGTTAGTATGTATTATTTTCATATTTACAAATGATACAATTTAGTAATCCAAGCCTGTTTAGACATGCACTAGCTGAGAGTGGGCATTCAGTCTGTGCTATTTGAAGCTAGGTCCTTATTACTTGGCACAGTACTTGACACAGAACATATACTTGATTAAATATTAAATATGATTTATTTAACTAATGAAAATATTAGGCATAGACTTCTTATAGTCAACTTCTTATAGACTTATAGTGAAGTCTTTTGCACTTGTTCATAGCTGAGGCAAAAGTGGATGCCCATAACAACAGAATATCAATAAATATCGGGCATCTTGATAGGTAGATGTGCAACCTGGGAAACTGACAGCTGGTGTTCTTTTATCTTCAAAAGAAGACTGAATGGGCATTTTGGTTTTAAACTTCTCCAGTAGAAGAGACCTAAGTCTTGATATTCAGTGCAATAACAAAACATCAATTGGGCAAGTTATCTACTCTGAACTGCATCTGTGAAATAGGGCAACATCATAACCTTTTTGTGAGAATTACATGAGCTAATATTTTGTCTGAAAAATAGTAAGTGGTATGTAAATGTTCACTGGTTCCTTTTTTGTTTGTCAAGTATCTACTCTGACCGGAACTGTGTTAATTTTGTAAGCGGAAAACAAAGGATTCATTATAGGGCATGGGATCAGACCTTGGAAAGCTTGGGTAGGAAAGTGGGAAGACAGACCACTCTTCTTCTGTGTTTAAGGTTAGATGGCATATGTGTTACACTGAATACTAGTGAGATCTTTACATTTTTGTCTTTCTGTTTTCCTTTCCATTCCCCATAGTTGCACCCTGCCACATTCACCTATGCAAGCCAAAACTGGGACCCCAGGAAAGGCTTCACTGTGATGCGGCCCTCTTATCAGTTCTACAGTAGCATGCTCCAATGCATTGCTGAAGTCAATGGAAAGATCCACAGGTCACTGTATCTCCCACAGCGATTGGGTATGTGATTTGTGCGTTTAGATTAGGAATTATAATCATGATGCTTTGTGAGAATACCTCCTTTTTGAATAAAACTTACTCCAGCTAAATTCTCTTTCGTATAGATTAATAATCATGATAATCAAGATCCTAGGGTCTTGGGGCTGGGGTTGTGGCTCAGCGGTGGAGTGCTCGCCTAGCATGTGCAAGGTGACATCAATTCTCAGAACCACATAAAAATAAATAAAATAAAGGTATTGTGTCCAACTACAACTAAAAAATAGATATTAAAAAAAGATCCTAGGGTCTTATTTTAATATGTATATTACATAATATATATTGGATGTATACATATATACATATACATATATTATGCAAATATATACTTATCTATCTATCTATATAGATGTCAGTAGATAGATAGATATATAGCTATGTATGTAGGAAAAGCCCAGATAGATAGATAGATAGATAGATAGATAGATAGATATATCAGTAGGTAAAGCCCAGATTAACTTCTGCAATCTTATATGACTCATAAGTATCAGACCATTTCTCTGGTGGCAATGTCTATAATAAATATTCACCTTTTACAGGGTTTTCCTTGCAAAACCATGAAATAATGGTGCATGTTGTGGCTAAATAACAGGCACCTTGGAATTTTATGTTATTGCTTCCTTGATTAATGTGGATATGGGCCATTAACAAGGAAGACCCCTTGCTCAGAGAACACATAAATATGTAGAATGAGCCACCAAAGGGCATTATGACTTTAGATCAGTAGGAGAAATAAAACTTTCTGATGGGGAAGCTTGTAAATTGGAGATAAAAATTTTCTAAGGATTATAGAAGCTGCTCACCACTACCAAGTATCTTGCAATAGTTTATATAAAATCTTATTTGGTCTTTTCTAAACCATGGGACCTTGTGGTATGATTTTGCATCTACAGTTTTCACCTAAGAAAGGGTTGCAAGGATTGAAAATTTTCAAGAACTACTCTATAATCAAGACTTTTTCCCCTGGTTTTGTCAACACCATATGGCATATCCTCTATTTTCTAGAAATAAAGAGAGGAAATATCTCTATCAGATATAACCAGAAGAGGCTTTTGATGGGAGACACCCTTTTCCTGCAGTGTGTGGCAGAGACCACATTCAATGGACGAATCAAACTGGATTGGGTATTCAACCGGCAAGATGTGAGTATACTATTTTTCCTTCAGAATGTTAGAGTATTTATCCATACTGTCTCTCCCTGAATTAGTCTAGTCTTGGACAAGAACCAGGCTAAGTGCTAGCAGATCAACAAAGCTGAATAATAAGTAGTATGTGAATTTCAAGAAATATGTTTTATAGGGACTGATATTTTATTCTGTACCATATTGTGGTCTATTATATATAAGTTCCTTATATTAACTTCTCTGGCTTCCCTCCCAAACCCTGTAATACTTTAGACATCTAGAAATACTCAATACTCTTGATTGAAATTTTCATCCTTTCCCATCCCACAGTCTAAGACAACACCCAGGTGTTGTGAAGTTAAAAGGAATTTGTACCAAGGGTCCCCTGTGTACAAAAGCTATAGTAATTTGACCATCTGGAATATAACCATGGAAGACAAGGGTTTATATATTTGCCAGGAAAATAACAACACTGCCCTGCAAGCCAACATTACCATCACAGTATACAGTAAGTAAACCTTGCATTCTTGACTTTTCTCTTGATTCTACTCTTCTCCCCTATACATGGTGAATCACTCAGAAATACCTGCATTTTCTCTTCCATTGTTATGGTTTCTCCAGCTTACAGCCCACTGTTTCAGGGCTTATATGAAATCTGTCCCTTTACCCTGTCACAGGGAACATATACTGCAAAATATTGTGATTTAACTTACATGTTTTTCTATCTTTTGGCTAGCTAGTAGTTAGTCCCAAATAGAGAGTAAAGAGTCTTGAATATTCTTTTCTATTTTGATGTGTGATCTTGAAAACAACTACTATGCCTCTCTAGGTTTAATTTTTCTATCTCTAAAATGATATTTGAGGGTGCCCTTTGATTTTTCTTTTTACTGATATCTATGTGGCTAAAAATTGAATAGCAGAAAGAATTATTAAGTGAACCTCTATTTAACCCAATTACCTTGTGTTTATGGAGTGGTGATTAATAAATACATATGTACATAATACATGCTCTCACAAAACAAAATAATAGCCATATTCATCCCAGTACATTTATACAGAAAAATATTATTTGGAATGCATACACACAGATTCCAACACTTATTTGAAGGTATGGACAAAATCCTCACTTATTGGAGCCTGGGGGGCATGCAGCCCAATGGTATGGTGTGTTTTTTCATTCATAAGCCATGGATTCAATGCCCAGCACCACAACAAACAAAAATTCTCACCTACAAATACTAATATTTCTCTACACACAAATGCTTACAAATTCAAATACAGTCACATTCTGAGTTTATTCTATAGTAAAAATTTAACTGCTATAGCTCAGTTAAACTCCTACAGCTGAGTTTATAAGATAATTTTCTTTATGTTTATCAGGCTTTGGATAACATATGTCCACTTTAGTAAACTGGGATGTCTTCAGCTGCAAACTACCTGATTAAAAGTAGTTTAACAATCAAGAGACAGTTATCTTATATAATAGAGTCTTCAGATTTACAGTTCCATGTTTGATTCAGTGGATCATGAATGTCCTACTGAAGCCAGGTTCTTTCCATTATTTTACTCTGCCACTTTCATTATCTTCAATGTACCCTGCATGTTGCTGGGAAAAGAAGGAAATTGATGACTTCCATTCCTTTTTAAGAATCTGTACAACTTTTCCTAGAGATTCCCTAGCTAATTTGCCCTCTTGCCTCATTGGTCAGAAATCATTCATTGCACATGTCTAAATAATCATCTCACAAGGGAAAAGGCCAACATGATTATATGATTCTCAACTTGGGAGCAGTACTATACTTGGAGGCATTGGAAATGTAAGGGGCCATGTTTTGTTTGTCAAAATGACTGGTGATCACTACTGGCATTGATGGGATAGAGTGAGACATAGTAGTTTACAACAAAGAATTGTCCCACCTAAAATGCCAATCCTTATTAATAAACAACATTTGTCAGTTCAAATTTTATTCCCTGAGGTTTGGAAAAACATGGCTGCTCATAGGAAGAGTAAACAAAATTAAGATTTAGTTTTACTTTATCCCTCTGATACCATACCTCTTCTGATTCCAGAAAAATCATTCCTCAATGTGAGATGCAAAAGAAGGTGCATTTATGAGGTGACAGCTGGGCAAAGGATGCTCAAAATAGGAGTAAGAGTGGATGCTTTCCCTCGCCCCAATGTGACCTGGTAAGTGGGCCTTCTTTTCTAAGGTTCTCTATTCCTGTGTCTGCTAAACCTCACCCTTAACAATTACTCCTTCCACTAGACCTTTAATTTGGCATTGGGAACTCAGGAATACATTAACTCTGGAAAATAAATTAATCCTAACCCTACCCTTTGGGGCACTCCCAATTTCAGAAACTGGGGCTTATCTCCTTGTTCCCAAGAAGAGGTGGGTTTCTTTGATTATTTTCTTTTACTACTCTTTATATCCCCTATGTTTGAGAAAATGAGTTTTGCTCTTTGAAAGTAAAGGAGGGAACAAGTCTGGAAAAATTTCCAAGGTCATTATGGGATTACAGAATCTTAAGGTTTTGAAGAACTCTTAAAGATGGTCTTACCCATCCTAGTACAGGTCCTTGAACATCAGGGTAAGAAATGGTGAGGTGGAAACAATATGGGAATTTCCATGAGGCAGACATGTAATTAATTCTTTTTCAAGTTACCAGGCATATTAATAAACTCTCCAAGCTTCAGTTTCTTCATATATAAAATCTGAGTGATTATACTTATATTACACAACAGTTCTGACGTTTAACAAGAAAAATAAATATTGTACTTTTTTATTGCTTACTTTAGTAGGAAGTGGAGAACCCTCAAAGTTATGAAGTAAGGAGGGATAGATTTGAAGCTAAGCATTAGAAAGATTAATATGGCTTTATGAATTTACGATGGTAATGGAGAAAGGCTAAGAAGAAATAGCTACTGCTATAGGGGCTTATGACAAGAGTTATGTGAGACATGCTGCGGACATGAATAAGCAGGAGGAAATGGGAATATAAGAATGAATGAAATTGGGGAAAATTGAAGAGGCAGAATACTCAGGGTTTAATATCCAGTTAGATATGTGAAGCTAAGCCCAGGAATCTGAAGTAATTCATAGGTTTCACATTTGGTTAAATGTAAGAGTGGTTGTGTTATTAACAACCTGTGCTTCATTTGGATGAAAAGCTAGTGTGAGGGTGTAGGAGAGGAACACCATGATAAATTCATTTAGAGAATTTCCTCCAGGAACATTTTGAAATATGGGTCTAGAGCTAGGTTCTGGAGAGGTAAATTGAGAGTCATCAGCAGGTGTTAAATGAATACATATAGGCAGAATACGCAGAGATAAGAGCCCAAGACACAATACAGAGTATTCTTATCTATGTACCTATCCATACATAAACACATATATACTTGAGGGCAATTATAAGCATTTATTATGCTCCTACTATTAATTACTGAAAAATATTTTCACAGTACCTTAAATCCAGATTATTAGCAGAACCTGTAGGTTCTGATCTAAATATCTCAGTTCTCTCTCTCTCTCATCTGTTTGCTTAAGTATTTTAAGTGTTTACAGGAAACACATATATTAAAAGGGAAAGTAAACAAAAGACAAGTCAGTGAAGAAGAGAGAAATAATGATTAGAACAGTTTCAAGAGGCTAAGAGAGTTCTCACTTCAGTAGCATATATACTAAAATTGGAATGATACAGATATTAGCATGGCCCCTGCACAGGGATGACATGCAAATTCATGAAGCATTCCATTTAAAAAAAATAAAAAGAAAAAAAAATAGGCTAAGAGAGAAAAACTTGGTCTCTGAGGTCAGGTATCCCAGGAAATCTGAAGGTCATTAATGCAAAAAGGCCACTGGCTTTGATATTTAGGGCATTGATGGGAATCTTGGAAAAGATGATTTCAAAATGATGATGTGGAGGAAAATTTGATTTTACAACATAAAGGAATTGATGAGAAGTGAGGAAATGGAAATGTAGGATGCATGTGTGGGAATACTTTCCAAAGATTTAACCATTAGGAGAAAGGAAAGAGATAGTTTTAATCTTTTACTTCCAGTGTGACTGTACTAAGATGCTCCAACCGGAATTTTTAATTTTTTTTTGTACAGCCAATTGAACCAAGGGGTGATTAACAACTGAGATACAACCTCAGCCATGTATACACACACACACACACACACACACACACACACACACACACACACACACACATATATATATATATATATATATATATTTGTTGTTGTTGTTTGTTTGTTTGTTTGTTTTTATGCAGGATCTCACTAATTTGCTTAGGGCCTTTCTGAGTTTCTGAAGCTGGCTTTGAACTCACAATCCTTCTGCCTCAGCTTCCCAAACCACTGGGATTACAGGCATGTGTCACAATGCCCAGCAACAGCCAGGAAATTTGATGAAATGGGTTCCATTGCTCTGCTTCTCTTTGTTGACCATGATAAAGCATAAGCCTATGGGAAGAGGGTTGTATGTCCTAAAGACCAACACTGTATTTATCATTCCTTTCTCATGCCTTATAGGTTCAAAGATGGAAAACCACTCCCAGTAAACCATACCTTCCAGCTGGACACTCTAAACTACAGACTTAAAATCCTGGAAGTTAATGTAAAGTATGCTGGAAACTACACTTTTGCCCTGAGCAATACCAAGCATGGCCTCTACAAAAACATAACTGTACAACTGATTGTCAATGGTGAGTTTTGGGGATTTGGATCTATGCAACAGCTCTAGGTTCCTTTCTTGGTGCTATTAGAAAAGATATTTAATGCAAGAGTCAGATAGTAACTACCACAGCTATGCAGAGACAGAGATTTTGGAAATGCCTATTTGTTACCTAGAGTTCTTGCTTGGCACTTAATGCTGATAGCAATTTTAGGGCTCAGATGAATTAATTATCTGTCATTTTTTGTTATCAGAGATCCTCAAAATTGGCATCTTCTTATTAAGAAAATATTATTTGCGGTGCAGAGAGCCAAAAATCAACTGCCTGGTTTTCTACATTAAAAATGCCTTAAAGAAGAGTAACATGTTGTTTCCCATGGCCCATCTAAGAGCCACCTCTGATAGTTTCCTTCAAAAGTATGACAAAATAATATCAGTAGATTATTGTCATAGCTCTTGCTATCTGACTTGAAAACCAATGATTTTAGCTTACCAGAGTGGCAAGTCAGCGCTTTAGCCTAGCTTATATTTAGCCTATCTTACATTTCACCTATGAACTTCTGATTATGGGGGAGCAAATGGTGGGGTCCATGAGGAATAAGAGCCATTCTTGGATAGGACGGCCCTTTCCCTCATTTTTTAAAATTCTTGGTTCACTAGAGACCAAAATAAGAGAAGAAGTTTTCTGGATCTTCATTTGTCTCTATGATTATACCTCTTCATCCCTCCTTTATCAATACCATTGGTTTGCAAAGGGTTTGGATTGGAGGAGGGAAGGAGGAATGCTTCCCCGAAACTAGTACAGCATTTATTTCTTTTGTATTGATCATAGACCATCTTTGTCATTTGTCTATCTTTTCTTACCTATGAATGTTTCCTATAAAACTGGATTTCCAATATCAAAAGAATATATAAATTTGAAAAATTTAAAATCACTAACTACCACTATTCCCATTACCAACATAATTGTCATAGTTAAGTGTTTCCAATCTGGATACTGAGGTAAGCACTATGGAGATTTTTGTTTTCTCTGCTAGCCTCTCAATTAAGGTTTATCACTTAACACTCTAGCAATCAGGTGGGCAGTTAGAGAAGGCAATGATAGGCTTAGAACCAATTTTTATACCTACTCTGTCTTCAGTCCCCACTGGCTAAGTGACCTTAGGCAAATCACTTTTCCCTTATGATCATCAATTTTATAATCATTAAAAAGAATACCAGGGTACTTTCTTCACAGGGCTATCATAATAATGACATGAAGTGAAGAGATGTTTCATCTTTTTCCTTCTCTTCCATCTCAGATGTCTGCTAAAATTGTTAGTCATTACTACTTTGGCAACATATTTTGGGCACCATCATTTCCAAGATACCCTATTTTCAATATAAAGTGAGGTAACTAGAAACAGACTGAGGGCTATTCCAAACCAGAAAATGAAGGCCAAAGTCAGACCAAGGAATAAAATTCCCAATTACACACATTACTTTTATTTCATGTATGATCCTGTGTGTTAAACCCACTCTCAGGATTTAATCAAATGGATATGTGAAGAGTGAGTAATGAGGAAAACAAAAACCTGGTAACACTTATGCTTCCTAGAGTATCTGCTCAAAAACTATGGGTTTTATTTTCTCAAGATCATGTTGCCTGCTTTTTCCTTTTCTTTCTTTTTTCATTACACTGACAATCAACCAATGCATTAGACATATAACTTTATTAGATAAAGTCAATTCAGAGGTTTTCTGAACCAAAATAGTCCCTTTTGAAGGCAGTTAAGAGACCAAGGGTTTAATCATTAGCTGTGCTCTCTTTTCCCATATCCCTACAGAATATGCTGGTGGGACTGTTTGGGATGTTACAAGACAAGTAGATGCATCCCCAGAAATATATTGGCTTTACTTCCAAGTTAGTGTGTTCCAATGAACCACTTTCATTCCCAATTTCCATATCTGCGGAATGGGTATTATGATGATCATGATAGAACATAACTTTGGACACCTTTCTCTCTAATATGTTTCTATCCTGAAAAAGTAAAACTACACTTATCTTATGTGGCACTATAAGGTAAAATGTAAATATGAAAGGGAGTCATTCTGGCTGAACAGAAGGAAGAATTTCTTTTTCCTTTTAAACAGTAAAACTGTTGAACAATGGAACATGTCTTACGAGATAATGATCATCCTGTTTATAGAAGTAGAACAATTACTAGGTAAGGAGGGCATAGGAAGTATTTTGGTAGCCAATTGCCTTTAAAGCCCTGGTAATCTTGAGATTCTATTTTAACATAGCTTATTATAATAATAAATTCATTGCCTAGGTGCATTCAGTGTTAAATCTAGAACTGAATGATAAGTGTCTGTTTAAGGATCATATTACAAATGGCTGTGGCCTGGTCTTTGGCAGAGAGAAAAATGGTGGGTTCATAAGGGAGACTGAGTGCTACCCCTCTATCAGGACTTACCTATTTCTTTATCTAATATCCAGAGTGAGAAGTGAAACCATTTCTAGTGTGGATCAGAAGATAAAGGAAAAATAAACCTTACTTTTTCGTTTCTTATGGAAATGCCTCCTTAGCCAAAATTCAGACCAAAACACCACATTGTTTTTCATTCCCTTTGCCAGATTTTCCCATGAGAAAGTGACCAGAGAAACAAACAAACAAATACAAACTAAACAAAATCCATCAATAGGTTCTTTTCTCCCTCTATCCCATCATGAGTTATTCAAGACAAATCAGTATAGCAAGATGAGGCCAGGCTAGCCAGCAGCTCCACTTGTTATTATTTATTCTCAAATCTCTGCCCCCTGTACGTAATTAGTGCTGGAGAAGTGAGGGGTCAGCAAGACCTCTGAATTATCAGCTTATATTTTTAAAGTAGTTCCTCTTCCTTTCAGTGCACTTTTTAAGTTAGTGGGAGGCAGGTAGATGTCATGCAGACCCTGGTGGGATGACTACTTTGGAGTTAAAATGGAGCCAAAGGGGCCAACCTGGCAAATGGACAATGTTTTTTTAATATTTATTTTTTTAATTGTAGTTGGACACAATACCTTTATTTCACTTATTTATTTTTATGTGGTGCTGAGGATCGAACCCAGGGTCTCGCACGTGTGAGGCGAGCTTTCCACCACTGAACCACAACCCCAGCCATGGATAATGTTAAGAGGAACACTGTAGGGAGGTCTGGGCCAAGAGGCTTACTTTAAGCAAGTGGTCCACTATTTTATCTTTTAATATTACACAGAATCCATGTGTATTTGTACCTATGACACTTTCAGGAAACATTAAATGTTGAAAATTCATGGAGGCTCTTTCTATTGTGTTGGAAAGAAGCAAACAAGATAATGGGCTGGAGGGCTAAAAGTATAGGTCTTCTGCCAAAAATTCTAACTATGTTTATTGACAATCTTTGAAATTCATTCTCATTCTCTCTCTCTCTCTCTCTCTCCCCCCCCCCTCCTCCATGACTTGGGAGAGCGAGAGACAGCAGCAATAGCATGATCTCTTTTTCTCTCAATCAAAAATGTCAATGAATCAAATGTTTCTTGAGCCACCTGCTGGATTCCAGGCACTATTATAGGCACTGAGCTTATTGCAGGAAATAAAATAGACAAAATGTGATAGGAAACTTACATTTTAGAAGGGTGTAAATAAAAAACAAAATAAATAAATGTTCAATATATCAGTTAATAGCACTTAAAATGCTATGAATAAATGAAAAGCAAGAAGATTGGGCAAGAGAGTGATAGGGGTGTCAGTTTCTATGCTTTATTGTCCTACGAATATTTGGATGAAATATTTTGTAGATATCTGTAGATATTTTAGAGGGAGTTCATTCTTTATGGAAATGGGTAGTCAGAAAAGACTGAGACCAGTTGGAAGAGGAAGGAGGTTCTTTCGTGAATATGAAAGAACAGTGTGTTTCTTCATTATACAAGGGAAAGTATCTTTCCCAGATCAATGTGTAAAGCATTTTGGTGTATAGGGTTTTATTTATATTCATGTCTACAGTGAAATGCGAGTTTTAACCTCATTCTTTAAAAGCACCCATAGATATAGATATTATATTGGAAGTGGATGGTTGTATCTTCTTTAACACTGATTTTAATAGCTGCTTGGGTCTACTTGTACATGAAAAAGGTATTTAATTGTCTAATCTTTACTTGATTTACCCTCAAAGTTTGTCACCAGGCCCCACTGAGGCAGACAGATATCCACCACAGTGTATTAATGAAGAGCATAGGGACAAGACTGACCAAGTCAGGAGTCTAAATAGTGGTTCAGCACAGAGACTCAAAGCCCACTCTATAACCCCATCCAGGCAGGGAAGTACCTGGTACAGCACATTTTGCCAAAGCACAGGAACTAGATCTGCCTGATTCAGGAGTTCAAACATTAGCTATGCTCAGTCTCAAAGCTCAGCAAATCCCTATCTAGGCAGAAGGATGCTACAGAGCATTTCTGCAGAACAAAGGAACTAAACCTGCCCCCAAATGGGTGAATAAATAGCACTTTGGTTCAGTCATAGAGACAATGACAAGATTCTGACCAAGAAAGGAAGCAAGCCTCAAATATACTTTTGAAATATGTACAACCTCTGTTTCTGTTTCATGAGAAGTGACTTCCTACCCATGAGTACTAGCCTGTAGATTTATCCAGTTACAGAACTCAAATAGTGGTATCTATGGCCAAGGAATATACCCCATAACTCGTACCAATCAAAGGTGATGACAGTGCCCAAGAGTTTCACCTGATGATGCTACTGAGCAAGTGGACTTACTGGGCAGTGAATCCCAGCCAGAAACAACAGAATCTAACAGAAAAGTCAGTAGCCCAGCCAACTAGTGAACCCAATAGAAAACTTTGCCTGACCAGTGTCATTACCATCTGATCCATCCAGATTCATAGGCTATACTGAGTAATGAAGGTCCACCTTTGCCAAAGAACACCCACAATGCTGAAAGAGGTGACACTCTCCTTGAATGTACAGACACCAATGTAATGACACAATGGTTACCAAGATTCAGGAAATCAT